AAAACTTTAAATTTAAATTTAGAAATGTGAATAAAGAAATACCGTTCTGCGCATGTGCGTAGCAGCCAAGTGATTACTGTCGCGAGCCGTTCTTTTTATTTTCTCGAATACTCGTTCTCTTTCTTTATGAAGCGGTACACGTATACAATTTCCTGCACCGGAAAGGTGACATCGGCGTTCAATTACGATATTTGTTATCGACTTGTACGATGGGTTGTAGGTTATTTAACAAAACCACAGGGTCTAACCGAAATTCTGGCAGTTTGGCTCTAGTATTTGGTTTTTATTCTAACGCAATTAACGAACCTTTGTGAAATAAATCAATTTCGTGCGTTTTTTGTAACCTGTAATTATAATTACGTTAAATTTGCCACAGTTTTGATTAACATTTGTCAGAAGTGGGAGCATAAAATAAATACTTCTTACCTTCGTTCCTACAATAAATGGATCTGTGCCTTTTAAATTCTGTATTAAGTAAATGTACTGAATTTATAAAAAAACATCGGTTATTATTCATTAAATGAGAGCCCGTATGTAAGAAAGGTTAAAATCGAAAAGGAAACCGTCAAGAAGCAATCCCTAATTAAATTATGTAGAAGTAAAGAACGGTATAATTAGTAACATGCTCGATAATTGTAGGGGTGCGTGTAGAGGAAGTTGTCATGAGTCCCTCGTCTTAACATTTCATGATCTAGGAACACTCACCCGTTTCCAGGTCAAGGTTAATTTAACCACGCTGAAAATTTTACCGATGGAGAAACGCGAAAAATTTATAGGGTAGAATTAAATTTTTATTAATGAGCCTAAAGTTAAGACGTGATGTAAAAAATTGCGATATTAATAAAGGTGTTGCTGAAAAACTGTGTTTATGAATTATGTTTTATGGAAAAAAAATTTCCTCGGGAACATTTTGATAGCGGCAAAAGGTCACGCTCACATTCCAAGTTCCGGAATACGAAGCGGCCTTGTTAGATAAGAGCAGAGGTGTGCAGTGCGTGCTCTGCTTCAGATTATCCTCGGACATATGAGGGTCTGGGTTTGTTATCCCGAGCGGCACGCTGATTCCCCGGGGATCCCTCCAAAGACCAAGATTGCGAAAGTTAGCGGCCTACTCTACCGTCCAATATATACGACAAGAAACGAACTTTTCTTCAGTATACTCAAGTTAGAAAGACAGCGAATTATTGATTTTTTTTAACG